TAACACCTCACAGGGCTGTGAGGATAGTAACGAAATGCCTGCATGACACTCAGAATACCTGCCCTTAGCACGCATCGTGTGTGTGCCTCTATTAGAGCTCAAGCTCAGAACCTCTCCTGATACGTTTCCACACACGCAGAGGGAAACGTATGTGAGGATTTTCATTACGACCCAGCGCGTAGCAGCTGAAGGTGAGAAACAGCCCTCCTGTCTTCACTAGCGCCCTGGTGAGATCAAGTACGGGGCTGATGTCACTGTCAGGGGTGGGAGGCCGCAGACAGGGGTGGGAGACAAGCTGTCACCGCACCCTCTTTGAGTATATTTTTTTCAGTTTTTGAACCAGGTGAACATTTTCCAAAAATTAAATGTAAACAGCTGGAGACAGAAGAGGGGAAATTTTAATGTACCTTTAACCTCCAAAAGGTGGTATCCATCCCAGCCCCAAGGTTGAGAATTTGACAATTACATTCTGTCTTCTGCAGAAATGCCTTCATAAGCTGATCGACGCCATAGACTCGAGCAAAATATCCTGAGACACAGACAGAGCAGCACGCGGTCAGCCCGTGACGACAGAAACAGAGCCTGCAAAGCCCAGTGTGCTTGAGGAGCAGAACGGCACCTGGCCCTTCGTCAGGGTCGGGGTTTATCTGAAGATTTTATGGGGGAAAAAATGGCTTTCCAATTCTCTTCCCTTATTTTTTTTAAAAAAAAGGCTGTTTGAACCAAAGTATGTACAATCAATTTAATGGTGGAATTCATTGTCTTAGGGAAAATAAAATGCCCTATTCTGTTCCTTATGAAAGACAAGCATTTTGTATCAAAACATCTGATCTAAATGTTCTTCTTGAAAAAGGGCTTTATCATGGCTCTCACGAAAACTACTCAGTTCTCTGGTAAAACTCAAAACTGTGAGATCGCATGGAAAATAACATTTTGCGCTCAGGAAATTGGGCAGATGTATGTTAAAGCAAAGAAAGCCATACTTCTTACCATGTTCTTTTCACCTGCACCCTTTCTGGGTTAGAGCCTCTGTGTTTATAAAATGGCACCGCAGATGGGAGGCGGGGAGGCACCAGCAAATGGTCCTAATAAACAGACTTGTTAAGCTCTGGGGTGGGGACCTGGTGCGAAGGAGATGGGAAATGCAGAAGGGAGACAGGAAGACAGTCTGTCTGTTACAAAGGCCCACTGCTCAAGGTGTGACTATTTCAAGAACAAAATTTGAGAGGAATACTTAGAAACTTTTATTGCAACTAGACACAGGGATTTTATGATTTACAGAATATCATCCACAATGGATTAGATTTGAGGGGGAAAATATGTCCCCACCACAGATGTTTGGGATGTGCGCTCCTTCAGGGCTGCAGGTTCCCAATCCAGAGATGCAAACCCAGGAGAGGAAGGAGGAGGGGGGCTGCCATGCTGCCCGGGGCCGAGCCAGCCGCCATGGCGGGTCCCTGCCTCTGGACCGCTCATTAGAAAATCTATCTCAAGAGCACAGGAAGGGGGCTTAAGGCCTCTTCCCTTCTTCTCAGGAAGCACCATTCAAACTTTCTTTGCATTTCTTATAAAACCTACCCACAGGATCCATCTTTAGGGTCAAGATTCCCTGCACACACAGGAATTATGGTCTTTGGTCAATTTCTTAGTCTGAAATGAAGTCACACTCCTGTCTCAAATCCTTTGACTTCCTTGATGGAAATTACGTGCAGAAACTAAAGTTACGAACCCTTTAGTAAGGCAACAACAACAAAAAATAATGCCTTACAGTTAACAGTAAAAGATATATAAATGGCTTTTAAAAACAGAAAAGTGATTTTTCAACCTCACCCCAAAATAAGAGGAATATAAAATTAAATTCCGCTAAAACACCATTTTTCAGGTATCAGATTAACAAAAATTAAAAATTTCATAATACACTGTGCTGGTGAGGAAGCTGGGAAATAAGGACTCTCTCTGTCGGAGAGAGTACACGCTGAAACTCTCTTTCTAAGAATGTGTTCCTAAAACCTCAGGCCCCTCAGCTGACGAGGACATGTTGGGGAGGGAGTTGGTCACTTGCCTCTGTTAATTTCAGGGGCCTTCCTCTCTTTAGATAGTCTCACCAAATGCTGGATGTAAGGGTCATGCCAGTAGCCAATGCTCACTGCAAACCTGAAAGAGATGAAAAAGGCAAGTGAGAAAGAGTAGGTTTAAGCCAGGTTCATGGCCAAGTTCCCAGGAACCAGGTCAAGGAGCCAGAGGAAATTAATCTACCTCAAAAGGCCAAGTTACATGTCATATTCCAGCACAAGATTAAACAGACTCATCCGTCCGTCTTTATAGTCACATACACTGCTGATCACATTTCCCCACCATGGTCATTTCTTACCTCTCTCTTTTCTCCTATCACTAACTCCTCTCCCAGGACCCTAGACAGCAGATAACCTCACCTCGTACTTCATAAAGAAGACCTGGAACCATGTATTCATTCAGCAAACTCACTGGCCAGAGCTAGCTGGATAACTCTGTTCAATCAAAAGTTTTGCGTCCAGGGGAAGCGAGACCCAGAAGTAGTTGGCCAGCATCACTAACAACCATCACTAAGCATCACTAAGTCTTTCTTCTGGCTCTATATTAAGTACCAGTCATTTCACATCCCTTAAGGAGGTCATAGTGGGGAAGCCAGGAACCAATGAACAAAACAGCTACAACCTGGAAAGTGCTACGGTGGCCTAAACTCTACCCCTGTCCACACTACAAGGAGTTACAGTGCTAGTGTCCTCAGCCTGGGAGCTGAAGTTCTGATGACCACTGGAAGCCCCCTGGCAACCTCAGCCTTAGGACCACTGAGCAGTCATGGAAAGAACCTGGATGCCTAGGGCCATGCCACCCTGCCATGGGCCTGCAGCCCCTCTGCCTCTCCATGGATATTCAGTGAGAGAACAAACGTCCTTACCACTTAAGCCCAGCTGAGTCAGGCTTCTGTTATTTGCAGCCTAAAGGATCCCAAGTGATAGCCTGAATAATACACTCATCGCCATATTGTGTGATAAGCTGAAACTTAAGGGATGTGTGTGTGTGTGTGGGGGGGTCACCCTGTTAGGTTCTAAGCTCCCAGAAGCAGATATTACATCTTTCCTTTTCTTTTTCTCTTTCTATTATATTGGGGGAGGGGATTAGGTTTGTTTGTTTGTTTGTTTTTAACGGAGGTTATGGGGATTGAACCCAGGACCTTGTGCATGCTAAGCACGCCCTCCACCACTGAGCTATAACCTCCCTCTACATCTTTCCTATTCTTTATATCTAACGACGAGGCTTACTGCTGCCTTGACTGCAAAAGGTGCTGAATTCTGTACAAATACGTCCCCCTAGTCTCTTGCATCCAGGTTTGCACATCTGTAAACACCTATAAGGAAGCATATACGTTCAGCTACTCAACTCCACACAGAAACACACAAGTCCTCACTAAGGGACACAATTTGCTATAAGCCCAGACTGCCCAAGGAAAACAGCAGACCTACACAGTTTTACAAGAGGAAACGAGCTCAAGGGAACTATATTCAATATCCTGTAATAGCGTATAATGCCAAAGAATATGAAAAGGAATAGATACGCGTGTATAACTGAATCACCATGTAG